TTGGCCGAGGCGGCGGGCCAGAGGCCTTCTGCATGTGCTTGGGCGTTTCTGTGGAAGTTTCTCGGAGGCCAGTTGGGAGCCTTCGTGGGCCGGATTGCGATCCTTTTGGGCCGTCCTGGGACCCTCTTGGGGGGCCTGGCCACCTTGGGGCCCTCTTTGAGCTCTCTTGGGCTCACTTGGGGGCCTCCTGTGGACTTCTTGGGGCTCTCGCGGGGGCCTCTTGGGGCCCTCTTGGGCCCCTCTTGGGCCGCTCTTGGGCTGCCTTGCGGCTCTCTGGGGCCCCTCCCTGGGGCCCTCCTGAGGCGACCTGGGAGGTCCGTGGGGCCGTCCTGGGCGATCTCGGAGGCCCGTGGAGCCACGGGATGCTCTTAGTTTCAAATGTTGCGGAGGACGATGAATGGAGAGAAAGCATGCTGCCAAGTAATTTCAAGATGTCGTAAATATGTGTCAAGCCTGTTTTAAATATGAAAAAACCTGTTTGAAACATGTTAAGAACGTGTTTTACACATGCGAAACACATGTTTAACTCAAGGGTAGGATTGTTAGAGTGTCCATTGTCATGGGATCCACAATCTTAGTTTCAAAGGGTTCAAAAACATTTCGAAACAAATCTATGTTTTGGCCTGCGCGGGCCGTCCTCGGGCCTCTTTGCCCGCCCCGAGGGCCTCCTGGCCTCTCGTTTGGCCCTCCTGGGCCGGCGTGGCTCTCGTGGGGTCCTCTTTTGCATCTTTGGGGGCCTTCCGGAGCGTCTCGAGGCCGCTGTGCTATAGACGCGGCAGGGACATCCAGGAAGCCCGGCAACTCCTGGGGAACCTCTGCACGGGAATCCAGCCAGGAGGTCCCAGATGCAAGGAATCCAGGGGATCCCTGGGGCCCAGGATCTTGGGGGTCGGGTTTCGGGGTTGCTTGGGTCTACATGCATACGCTGTTGGGCTTAGCACGTTCAAGGTTTTGAGGTCTTGGGTGTGTCTCCTCCTCTGCCTACACCTTGCCCTGCTCTTCTTGGACGCAGACCCTCGAGCCCCAGAGAGCCCGCGCCGGGGCGGGTACGCACGCCGAAGGGCGGTGCTCTCCGGCTAGTCTCTCTGCGCCATAGGGACCGTCACGACCCACCGGTAAGACGGAGATCGGGAGCCTGACCCGTTCAGCCTGACCCGTTCAGCCTGACCCGTTACCGTGATCGGGAGCCTGACCCGTTCAGCCTCCCGCAGAGGGGGGTCGGGGGAGGGGGGAAGGCTTCTCAGAAGCACCCCTGCCTCTCAGAAGGCGCGGGCCTTATCTATAGGTGTGAGGCCCCCTCCCTCGAATCAGGCGATCGCAAGCTTTATCAAGGGGGCGTGGATTCGCGACGGGTCCCGTTTCCCTGGGACATCCGGGAGTCCCGCCGCCGGGCGAGGCGGAAACCGGCCGCATTTTGGAGAGGGCACTTCCCCCGATCCATGGAGGTGGCGTCCGCGCGCCGAATCCATGGATCGTTGACCCCTGTTTGCGCGCCCCTGGCTCTAAGCTCAAGTCGGGCACATCCCTCTACAGGAAGAATATCCAAAAATAGTAAAAAAAAAAATAGTCTGGGGACGATTCTCGGATTCTTTTGGGGGCATTTTGGCAATATGTCTGGGGTATGTTTTAAATTCTTCGCCGAAGATCCCCCTGTAGGGAGACACGCCCGGCTTAGCTCCAAGCAGCAGCCTCCTGCGAAGAAGCCCTCCCCCCGCCCCCCCCCTCGTCTCCCCCCCAGAATCGGGGGAGCGTAAGACCTGGGTTTGCCAGGACTCGGGTTCGCCATCGTTTTTTGACGACCGCGCCTCGGATTTTGACGAGGAGGAGTTTCGTTGGATGTCTGCAGCGGGAGGCCTCGTCAAAATGCAGGCTCGGCCTCGTCATTTTTTTGACGACCTCGTCGGGGATTTCCGAGTCCGCCGTAACCGGGTCTTACGTCTCCCCGACAGAAGCGCAGCGCCGACCCCCACGGCGTCGCAGGCCGCCCGCCGCACACCAGGCGCCGCTCGCTCCCGTCCAGGCCCAGCCCGGGGCCCGGGAGTGGTGCCGAGCAGGGCCTGTCCCTCCACAGTTGTGGAAGTCTGTTAATGGAGAGGAAAAGCAGGCTGCCAAATCATTTCCATCTGTTTCAAACACATACAGGTGTGAAACATGTTGAGAACATGTGTTTATACATTTTAAAAATACTGCCATGGCATCCACAACTCTACAGGGGGAACATAGAAGATTGGCATTGCTTGTTCTCCTCCATCTGTCTGAGCATGTTTGCCTATGTTGATTATGTGTCAGTTTTTCGTCCAAAATCCGCCTGTAGGGGGACACGCCTGACCTAGTGTTAGGTCGGGCCTGTCCTTCTACAGGGAGCAAAATTTAAGAATAGCCAACAAACATACGGGGAGGATGGTTCGCATACTTCTGGGCATGTTTGAATATCCGTGAGGGCTTCGCCCCCTGCCGCCCGCCCCTTCTCCCGGAGAATGCGCTATGCAAGAGCTATGTCATGAGGCCTGGGCGAAGTCGCGAAGCAGTATCGGAACTTCATGCGAGGCCGACTCATAATCAGCAAAACCAATAGATGACCAGAGGGGTTACAACACCTTGCGATTGGTAAGACGTCGTGACCCTGCCGATCTGCGTGAGGGGTGCCACCGATTTTCAGAAATGTGGCAAATCCTTTGTGTTTTTGCATCCTGACCCCGCCGATCTGCGTGAGGGGTGCCCTCGAATTTCAGGAATGTGGCAAGCCGCATGTGTTTTTTGGACCCTGACCCCGCCGATCTGCGCGCGGGGTGCCACCGAATTTTAGAAATGTGGCAAATCCCATTTGTTTTTGGACCCTGACCCCACCGATCTGCATGAGGGGTGCCACCAAATCTCAGAAATGTAGCAAATCTCATGTGTTTTTGGACCCTGACCCCGCCGATCTGCTTGAGGGGTGCCGCCGAATTTCAGAAATGTGGCAAATCCCATATGCTTTCGGACCCTGACCCCGCCGATTTGTGTGAAGGGTGCCACCGAATTTCAGAAAGGTGGCAAATTCTTTATGTTTTTGGACCGATCTGTGTGAAGGGTGCCACCGAATTTCAGAAAGGTGGCAAATTCTTTATGTTTTTGGACCCTGACCCCGCCGATCTGCGTGAGGGGTGCCACCGGATTTCAGAAATGCGGCAAATCCGTTATGTTTTTGGACCCTGACCCCGCCAGTCTGCGTGCGGGGTGCCACCGGATTTCAAAAATGTGGAAAATCTTATATGTTGTTGGACCCTGACCCCGCCGATCTGCGTGAGGGGTGCCACCGAATGCAACTCCCTCATGTTGTTGGACCCTGACCCCGCCGATCTGCGTGAGGGGTGCCACCGAATTTTAGGAATGTGGCAAATCCCATTTGTTTTTGACCCTGACCCGCCGATCTGCGTGAAGGGTGTCACCGAATTTTAGAAATGTGGCAAATTCCATTTGCTCTTGGACCCTGACCCCGCCGATCTGCGTGCGGTGTGCCACCAGATTGTACAAATGTGGCAAATCACTTGTGTTTTTGGACCCTGACCCAGCCGATCTGCGTGAGGGGTGCCACCGAGTTTCAGAAATGTGGCAAATCCCATGTGTGTTTTGGACCCTGACCCCGCCGATCTGCGTGAGTGATGTTAATTTTTACCCACCCCAGCAACTCAGACAATACAATCTCTCCGTTGTAAAAATATCCGTTTTGGGCCTCCCCCCCTCGCGCGGTCCATCAACAAGGAACAGTAAGCAGCAAGAAGTCAACAAGGAACAGTAAGCAGCAAAAAGCAAAGCTGTAACAGTGGAAACTGGAAGCTGCAACTGGCACAGGTAACTGCGAACCTCCGGCCTACAGCCTGGTGGCCCCACAAAGGGGCCGGCGGATTTTTTGATGCAGGGGGACACGTCCGACCTAATGTTAGGTCGGGCCTGTCCCTCTACAGCGGGAAAATTCAAAATAGTGCAAAATCGTACGGGGACGATTTTTTGGCATAGTTTTGGGCATTTGTCTGCACATGTTCAACGCTTTTTGTGTTTCGTCCAAAAGCCGTCTGTAGGGGGACATGCCCGGCATAAGATTCGTGTGTTCGGACGGGGCGGGCACGGGGACGACGAGTCCGTTCCAGAGCCGTTCTGCAGCGCACTGCAGGGCATCCCAGGACGCTCCGAGAAGACCGCGGCGCCCGAGACGGTTCCAGAGCCGGCGGATCTCGGAGATTCTGGATATCCGTCCTCGTCCGATGTGTTCCTCGTCCCCCTGCCCCCTGGCTTGGCGAGGGCAAGGCATCTGCACCAGTCCTGGGCCCAGGATTGCCCTGGCCAGGCTCGGTGCTGATGTGCGGCGGGCGCCTTCTGAAGCTTGTTCTGCTCGCCGCGCTGCGACGTGCTCCGCTGCTCTGAGCCGGAGGGACGCGCCCTCCGCTCCGTGCCCTAGAATCGGGGCAACGCAAGACTCGAGTACACCGGAACTCGGGTTTGCCAACGCTGCTTGGCGTGCACGTCCTGGGCTCTGGCGGTCCAGTTTTCGTGGGATGTTTGCAGCGGGAATTCGCGTCAAGTTTCAGACTGGGTCTCGTCGTTTGCATGATGGCCCACGCAAGGCCACCCTGAGTCCCCCGAGCCCGAGTCTTACGCCTCCCCGATAGAAGAGGACACCACCAAGATCTCCAAAGCGGTCCGTCGTCAGGAACAAAAGGAGGGAAGGGGAGAGAGGAGCTTCCAGACACAAAACAGTGTCATTGATGCCGCGGCTCACGACACAGGGAGAAAACGCTTAGCTTCCTCCGGGGTCGGAACCTTCATGCTGCCGCCATTTCCGCCACGTCGACGGATTCCTTTGTCAGGGGCGTTTCGGGAGGTCTCTAGAAAGAAATAGGCACTCCAGAGAGCTCGGGACCTTCGAAAGTGCCCATGGGGTCTTCCACGAAAACGCCCCGCGGAGAGCACACGGATGCTCTCGGGTCTTAGGAGAGAGGCTGAGGAGTGGGGGCTTCCGCCAG